AGTTGACTGTACACCCCTTCTTTACCAATTGGTATATAAACTGACAAAAGAGGTATATAAGCAAATCTGTCTTAATATGTTTTCTAATGAATGGATAAATAAATAACGCTTTTTTTCCCCTTAGTGGTACTTATTTTTAAACTGATAACAGAACATAGCTAACTTGTAAATAACAATTCAAAACAAAAATCTTTACTATAGTATTTACTTATGTGACATAACTATAAGATAGCACTGTCAGTGTCTTTGTTCTAATAATAGTTCTTACTAATAATTGTTCATAGTTGTAATGTATACAGCATATAGTATTCAACTGGCAGTCATTTTTATATAGCAGAAAGAACACTGAGCTGAAATGGAAAAGCCTTGAGGGTTCAAGAATTGCTTTAGCTGCTCATTCATTTTCTCAACAGATATTCATTGCATGGTTAGTATGTGTCAGGCCCTGTAAAATGAATTCTAGCAGCAACATTGATAAAAGTACAAGGTCACTGAATCCAAAGACACAGAAGATACAAACATATAAAAGAGGAATTATAGTTCACTAGAAAGGTTGATACTATGTATATTGGAGAACAGTTATGGAACAGACAATCTAAAATATTGAGGTAGCTGGGGAAAATTGAGAAGCATAAGAGGATGGTTACAGAATAATTAATTCTTGGACTTTCAAATGAAAACATAGAAGTAAAGAAGAAGGCATTCTAAGCATAGGAAATAGTACCTAACAAAGATGTGGAGATACATATGAAAGAACTTATTTACTGACCTGTAGGTAGCTCAGTATGGCCTAAGCATAAGGCATTGGTGGAAAGATGGTAAGAAATTTGGCATGATAGATAGGCCAAGGAGTTCAGAAATATGGTGATAGAGAAATCATTGCAGAATTTCTAAAAAGGTTGTTTATTATATTAGTGTAATGAGTAGATTAAACAGTAAGAAGTCTAAAGGCAAAATGAAAATAATTCTGCACAGTAATTTTAAAAATATTAAATGAATTATAGATGTAAAAAATACTCTACAAACTAAAGCACTCTGAATCTCTAAAAATTATATAATCTACTTATTTAATATCTGTGTACTTCATTTAAATAGTTCCCTGCTATAGAATTTACTTATAGAAAGGTTTGCTTCAAGTTCAGCTTTAGATAACAGTGTGAAGTAGTGTCACTTTTCTGTAGGTATTATTTCCTAATCTTCCTTAATCTTGCCCCTCTCTTTTTTTTTTTTTTTTTTTCCTTTTTGTCTTTTTTCATGACTGGCAACGGATCGCAACCCTCAGTGTCGCGCCCGTACCGGACCGGGACCGGCAACGGGATCGCAACCCTCGGTGTTGCACACGCACCTCGCTCAGCCAGTGAGCGGCCGGTCTGTATGTGGGATCCGAACCCTCGGTGGGAGCGCCACCGCGCTCCCAAGTGGCACACTGTAGCAGTGCGCCACCGGGCCGGCCCATTGCCCCTCTCTTTTTACTGTTAGTGTATTTACAAACTAGTTCTCCCAAATAAGAGTCCTCTCATTATCCTCATCGCAACTCTCATCATCTTGGTTAGCTTATGTTCTCGATCCTTTCTTTGGAATGTTCCATAAAAACATCTTATTTAAAAGCAAGCTGTAAAGAAAATCCTTAATGGGAGAACCCTTTTCAAGAGATGCCTTTATGATTTGTGCTGTCTTAGGGAGATGGCTTCTGCCTTTGATGTCAGATATGATAAGAATTTGGGGCCCAAAATTTTTACATCTGTGCTCCTTTGTACCAAGGTGAATGCTCATCTGTGTCCATACCAAGAACCAGTATTTTTTAATGAATAGTGGCACAAAAGTAGGAATAGCCAACTCTGTATAAAGATCAGAGAAGATATTAAAGGAGATTATTTAGATTAAGATATGTATCACTATCTCCATTTTCACAGGTGAGTAAACTAAGGTTTAAAGAGTTTGGGAAGCAATATGCCCAGTTATAATGCTTTCAGAGTTGCATAGTTATGGTCTGCCTTGGGTCTATTTTTGAAAAAGCAGAGCTATAAACAAATAAAATGCATCCAGTACATGTGGTAATCCAAATCTAAAATAGACCTATTTGGGGCCGGCCTGGTGGCGCACTGGAAAGTGCACTGCTTGGGAGCGCGGCGGCGCTCCCGCCGAGGGTTCGGATCCCGTGTGGAGACCGGTTCCCACTCACTGGCTGAGCGTGGTGCGGGCGCAACACCGAGGGTTGTGATCCCGTTGCCGGTCCCCGGTACGCGCGTGACACCGAGGGTTGCGATCCCGTTACCGGTCAGTAAAAAAGACAAAAAAAAATAAAAAAATAAAAAAATATAATAAATAAAATAGACCTATTTGACTCCACATTTCAGAATGTTTCCACCACATGGTCCTGCTCTTCTTAGAGTGGAAAAAAGTATACTTGTAAACGTACTTTGAATGAAGGCAATAAAAATGTTTATGTATATATACACAGAAGCTCTTAAAATTCCCAAATAGAAATTCGAGGTTATGAAGAGTTTTAAGTCCGTAAAATTCCAACTTTGTTTAAACGTAGTTAGACTTTCTAAAATAATAAATAGTTCTCCACCACCATCCCCAGCCTACCCTGAAAAACAGGACTTTTACTGACAAATTCAAGCTCAGCTTCTTAACCTATATTACCTCTACTGCCCTGAGGACTCTTTGTAGGTCTTCTTGGACAAAAGCAACTTTAAAGTAAATGTTATATGTAAAGTTATCCCCAATGTCTTCCTACTTAAAGAAATCTATGCTGCCAAACATTAAAGTGATGGCATATGTGAGAAATTTGAAACTGTAGTAAAGAGTTTATTGAAGTAAGCAGAAAATTACATCAAAGGTACATGGAAGAATTAACAACAGGTAGGCATCATAAACAAGAATTTGTGCTACATGTTTTGTTGCCATTTGCAAAAATAAAAATTTTTCTATAAGTAAACATGATACATATATGCAAATACAGAAGTAGAAGTTGATGACTACTAATATATGGTTTTATATTAGCATAAATTTAGTTGTGTCTGCCCCTAATTTTCTATATTTAATTTATTTTTCTAGATCTCTAGCCCTGATGATGGTTTTGAGAATAGATCACTTTATGAAAGCTGGTTGGAAAAAGACCCTTCACCTGAAAATAAAGATTTTCCTAGGTAAATTACTTTTATGCATCATTTCTACAATAGGATAAATGAATTCCCCTTTACCCCCTGTTTCTCCAGACATGCAATTCTCAAATGCCTTATCAATAATTTGAGTAAAGATAATAAAGAGTTCCTCTGTCCAGCCTTGGTTTTGCTGATTAGTCAGCACAGCCAAGTCTTTTAACCTATAATAGAGCACAGACAGATCTAGTTTTGCAAACTTTTAGTCAAAATTACTTTGCTGCATTATTAGTCATTATTTGGAATTCTTTTTTTTTTTTTTTATTCTTGTCCCTCCAAGCTGTCATAGTGGTCTTTATAAAATGTTCAGTCAGACCACATTACCACTCCCTTACTTACAATCCACCAATTATTTCCCTTCATACTGGCAATTCCACCCAAACTTATTTTTTAAACTTTTATTTTATTTTAATTTATCAATATACAATGTAGTTTATTTTTTGTGTCCCTTTACCAATTCCTCCTTGAATTCTTGCATAAATTTTTGTTTAGGTATGTATTAGTTGTGTTAATAGATAGTATAACTTCAAGTGATAATGATGAAGTAAAAAACAAATGATGGTTTATTTGCTTCCTAATATATAAATAGACATTATCAATAACCATCAAATTGTGTCTTTACCTGTAATCAATCTATTTTTTACCTCTTATTATTCATGCTACAGTAGCTTTCTTGAATTTGTGTTTACCACCACAATCCTAGTACTAGAAGATGACAGTAGCAGTTTATAGCTTCATTCCATATTCTAAATTAGCCTTGTGAAAATTTAAATGTGTTTACATTATAAAAGTTTCACATGCTTATTCAAAAAAAAGTAGAATACAAAGAAGATTTTAAAAACATCCAAGGTCTCCATCTCAAAAACACATCTAATAATCTCATTGTTTAGAACATATAGTTATATTCTTAATGCATATTTAATTTTGTATTCTGGCTTACTGACTTACCATTGTATCCTAAAAAAATTCCACGTCATGACATTTTATGTACATACATGTATATGTAGTCATATGTATATCTGTGTGTATGTATGTATTGATAGATGGTGGTTTCTTAATTATATGCAAATAAATATGTTGTAATTAGATTTATTTCTGCAATGAAATAAACCACATTTAGATTCTTTATGATCTCAAATATAGACTTCCTCATGGCAATTTTCTAACTAGACTATAGTTCTCTGAGTGCAGGGCCCCTCTAAATAAATGCTGAAAATATGGAAGAGAGCATTGTCACTAGGCTGCACTCTTTGGTGGCATTGCCCAACTCTGGTTGTATTCAATGCAGATTTATAAGTTTATCACAGCAATTTTCCAGCAGATGATAAGAAAGTATCTTGAGGGCAGTTAACCTTTTTCTAATTCTTATAAATGTGCTATGTAATTCTTTGCTATTTTTTGGACAGGATTCATTCTTCCATCTATTTAACTTTATATTATTTATGTATGTGTTTGTGTGTGTGTGTGTGTGTGTGTGTGTGTGTGTGTGTGTGTGTGTGTATTTATGTTCTACATCTAGAATCAATAAGCTGGGATCTGGAAGTGATTTTGAAGCTTATTTTCAGAGACTTGGAATTGCTTCAGGCAGAGCCCGTTATACTAAGAATAAGGTAAGCCATTTTATCGTTTTGAATATATAGTATTTCATCTACATTCTTTTGGCAAGGAACCCTGTCATTGAGTTGTTTGGCATCAGGCACCAGGTGGACATGTGGCCTGGGAATACTTCCAGGGATAGAGATAGACTGCATGTCCCTTTGTAGATGGACTAGGAAGTAATTTGAGTTATTTTGTGACTATTTCACTACCAGGGTTATCCAATGAGTTTGTAGTTCACAGAGTAATGCCAGATACTTAGCTGGTTATGAGTACTAATTAGTTCATATCCTTTTCCCATGCAGGATTTGTTAGAAAATCTCATTTTCTAGCCTAGACTTGCAGGATCTGATGTGTTTTTCCTGCAGGGGGGGGGGAAATGCAGTAGAAAGATGTATTTTGGATAAGGGGAACACTAGGCTAAGATTTTTTATTGTCAGTAGCAGGTGTTCACATTCCCACTTCTGCCTGTCATTGAGTCAAGGGCTCTTGGGTAGGGAATAAAGCAAGTTTCTCTTAATTTTTAGTTTTATCCTCTTTTCTGCTGTGCACTGACTGGGTTGCACCATTGTGTCTCAAACATCTTGATGATTTGCATGTCCTTGGACATAACCAACATATACTATGTTTGCTTGTATATGTTATAAATTATGTCATAAACCAAATTTAAGATTACGTTAGTAGACACAGATTAGTCACAGACTTTAATCAGTTTTAAAATCGTAATTGCAATACACCAACATCTTGTTTGTAATACCCATCACTTGCAAATCTGACTATCCAGAATACAACTGAGAACAAAGAAGTAAGCAAAAACAGCTCCAGGATAACCCAAAATAGATACATAAAGTCTGTATACTAACACCCATTACATTTAATACATGAGAGATGTGCTTTAACTCTTTTACAAGGCCTGTTCACTTTTATACTCTGTCATCAATTCGAATAAAGTTGTCTAGTTTCTTTTTTTTTTAAATTTATTTATTTTCCTTTTTGTCTTTTTCTGTGTCCGGCAACGGATCGCAACCCTCAATGTCGCCCCCGTACTGGACCGGGACTGGCAACGGGATCGCAACCCTCGGTGTTGCTCCCGTGCCCCGCTCAGCCAGTGAGCGGGAACCGGTCTGTATGTGGGATCCGAACCCTCGGCGGGAGCGCCGCCGCGCTTCCCAAGTGGCGCACTATAGCAGTGCGCCACTGGGCCGGCCCAAGTTGTCTAGTTTCTAAGACCACCATAGATTAGAAGCAGACAATTAGAAGGAGAGGGACTGTAGTGTTTTGGTTAATTTGATTTTAACTTTTTTTTGTTTTACTGTGATAAAACTCAGGGTGTAATATGAGTGTATTTTTTTCTATGGTAATTTTTATGATTATGTAAAATATTGTAACTTGAATTTTTAATGTTTGTTTATACTCACCCTTCCCCCATATTTTTCAGAAAACAGATAAGTACAGCAGCTACCCAGTATACCACACAATTTACGAGACATTTGAATTGGTAGAGAATTTTTATGACCCCACATTTAAAAAACAGCTTTCAGTGGCTCAATTACGAGGAGCACTGGTATATGAGCTTGCAGACTCTAAAATCATTCCTTTCAATATTCAAGACTATGCTAAAGCTTTGAAAAACTATGCAACAAGTATCTACAATTTATCCAAAAAACATGAACAACAATTGAGAGACCACGGAGTATCATTTGGTAAGAAATGATTGGGTAGATATTTTATAATCTTTAAGGTAGAGCTTTAAAATATTATTTCCCTGCCTCAGTTACTAATTCTGACTTCTAGATAAAAACTTTAAACAAACACCTATTGAAGAATATGATTTAATCTGATGTGTGTACGATGAATTCATTATGGCTGAGTTGATGCTACAAACATTGAGTTAATAAATATTTTTCCTATAATACTGCCTTTAAAAGCATTTTTACTGTCTAGGAACAATATTAGAAAAATGTAACAATATTACAAAAAGATTGAAAAGTAGAGAAAACCACCAATTCCACTATATCTACGTATTATTATTATTATTGTATATATATTTTAATATTTTTCTACATAAAGGATTTTTTACATAGTCATAGCATTCTCTTTTTAAGAAATATATATTTCATTATATTATGTATTTTTTATATATGTAAAATAATCATATTATTTTTCCTTTTAAGAATTTATTCATATATATATGTATGTATAAGTAATATAATGTAGCTAGCATAATAGTGTTGAACATTGGCTCTGGAAGCGGCAGTATGCCTGGTTTAGATATTGGCTCTACCATTTAGTCATGGTGTGACCTTGGGAAAGTTACTTAACCTCTCTGTGTCAGTTTTCTTATGAGTGAAATGGTAAAAAAAAAAAAAAAAAAAAGAAAAAGAAAAAGAAAAAGAATACAACATTTTTCAGAGATTGTTGTGGAGATTCAGTTAGGAAATATATAGAAGCAGTGGTGGCTGGCACTTAGTCCTCAGTAAGTGTTACCTATTATTACTGTTTTATGGTCACCATTTTCTTTTATTAAAATGGGGTACATATTCTTAGTATATATCAAAATTGTCAAATATGTACTGAGTGCCTACTATGTATCAACTACTACGCTATTTCTTGGGAGATATAACGATGTATA